TAGGGTTTAGGGCCCTGAACCCTAAAACCTCAAACCCTCATACCCCGAATCCTCAGGTTTCTCAAATATCAACCTGGGATGACCCGAAGCCTGCGGCCTTAAACCCTACAGCCTCAGCCCTACATGGATCAGTGGCTCTAACTTATGGTTTAGGGTTTAGTTTAAGGTCCCTTTTAGGTTCCTTGTCATAAGGGTGCCGTACCAGTTGGGGGGGCCGAAAAAGGGACCCTACTTTAGAGAACTACCCTACATGCCGAAGCCTAGATCCCTAAGTACTACACCTGAAATTAAATAACTTTAACATACCGTAAACGCGCTGAGTTACAGAAACTGCCGGAAATGTCGGAACATCCGTGTCCCATGACCGTAAGGTAGAGCGCAGGACGTCAGCACAATGTCCTGCGTCCTAAATCCTCAACTCTAAACCCTCAACGAACGGCTAAACTCCGAAACACTAGAGCCCTAGCAACTCTAAAGCCTTGAAGCCCTGACGCCTCACAAAACACTGAAAACCATCAAACCGAAACCCTACCACCCTGAAATGCTAGAAACAGCCCTAGACGCCCCCAAAACCCCTAAACATCTAAACATACGTAAGCCCTGAACCCTAGAAGCCCCAATCGAGAAGACACCCAAGCACAGGGCCCTGGCCGTCTGGGATGTTTAGCAGGCCTAGGATTGCTGCTTCTGGAGCTGTGGGAGTTTGGGGCTTTGGGTTTAGGGTTTAGGGTTAAGGGTTAGGGGTCAAGATTTAGAGTTTAGGGTTTTGGGTTTAGAGTTTAGGGTTCAGGGTTGTGGGTTTAAACCCTAAGCCCTAAACTTTGGGGTCATGGTTGGGTTTTGGGGGCTTCAGGAGCTTGGGAGGTGTGCAGGGTTTGGTTATTGGGGTTGCGGGCTCCTCCTTACGACTTCTTTCCGTCGTTCTAAACCCTAAACCCATGCCCTAAGCCCGTCGTATATTTCTGATTCTTCTGTTGGGGCGAAAGAGGTCGAAATGGCTCGGGATTCAATCTGATTGAAGGGTTTAGGGTTTAGGGTGATCGGCGCAACCTTGAACTGTAGGGAACATCTGCTGGCCTCCACAGCATGACAAGGAAGATAACTGCCACGAACAAGCTCAACACCCTTACAATTTGAAACTAGGCGTGCATGTAAGCACGTAACTATGCATGTGGGTATGTATGCTTGCATGCATGGGCGTGTATGTGTGTGTATGCTCGAACGCGCAAGGCAGTGTATATATGTATACATATATATTTATGTATACATACATATATATATATATATGTGTTTATTTATTTATTTATTTATTTATGCGTGCACGCATGCCGGGGTGTCTGAATAGTACGAGTGTATGTATGTATGTATGTATGTATGTATGCATGTATGTAGGTATGTAGGTATGTAGGTATGTAGGTATGTAGGTATGTAGGTATGTAGGTATGTATGTATGTACGCATGCATGTACGTGTGTATGTGTAAACACACATATATATATATATGTATGTATGCATGCATGTGTGTATGTATGTGTGTATGTATGTCTATGTA